TTGATAAAAGCAAGAACAGTTACTATTGAGAATAGTTTCACCTTCCAGATAACCCTACACTACAGAGAAGGAATAAAGATGCGTCTGCCATCCATAACAGTCCTCATTCTGGAAGCCACAACCCTACGGGACATGCAACCAGGAAGGGAAGACTGGGAATAATTTTTCAGCTACTGGGAATTAAATAAAACACTAAGAGGCACGAGCAAAATTCTCCATATTAGCAAATTTTAAACAACATACATGATATCATAGAAAGTAGTTTTTGAAGGTTGCAGCCAAAGACCAATTCAGATGCTAAATTAACACAGAAGACGGAGCCCGCAAGTGAGAAGCTGTGAACCCCATTTCCTAGCAACTCAGGTGTCCCATACAGTCTAACACTTGCTTCGCAACTATTTCAGATAATCAAATGTCCTCATTTCTTTGTGCATCCCTGAAGATTCTTAAATACCATAATCTATTTTCAAATAGAGACAAATTTGCTCTTAAAACAACTTCTGCCCTACATGTCTAACATTTTTGTCTAAGAACCTTGCACTTGTGCCTTTGCATTTCAAATAAATGATGGAGATTTTTCTGCTATTTTTAATCTGCTAGGGATTCTGGACATTCCCGGTATTTTTAGGTTACTAATTTACTCCCTTATGTAAGCTCACCAAAGTTGTGGCATGCACCATATATTTTGAATTCTAATCCCACCCACCTAAGAATTACTCAACAGGTGCCATCCATATTAGTAACTTTGTCTTTGGATGAGGTTAAATATAGTATTGACTGAGTTCCTGCAAACTGAGTTCTGTTTTTCAAGACCAGTTTAGTCTCAAGATCATTCAAGAACTATAACTGTGACTTTGAAATGTAGAATAAATATGAACAAAATGTCTCAGTAATTTTACTACTAAAATGCTAAAAAAAAGTTTATATATTCTTACATATGTGCTCATTGGGTGGTGCCTGTGGCTCAGTGTGTAGGGCACTGGCCCCATATACCGAGGGTGGTGGGTTCAAACCCGGCCCCGGCCAAACTGCAACAAAAAAAAATAGGTGGGCGTTGTGGCAGGCACCTATAGTCCCAGCTACTCAGGAAGCTGAGGCAAGTGAATCACCTAAGCCCAAGAGCTGGGAGGTTGCTGGGAGCTGTGTAACGCCACAGCACTCTACTGAGGATGACAAAGTGAAGACTTTGTCTCTAAAAAAAAAAAAAAAATGTGCTCATTGAACCATGTTGTTTGAAAGAGTTATCGTGAAAAAATATATATGAGTTTGAATTTTCTTTATTATATGAGATATATGTTGAATTTTTTATTAGTAAGTAACATCATATAACAACATAGAAAAAAGCACATTAGTATTATATAAGATTCCAAAATTGTTACATTGATTTGAATTCCTTTAATTTTATTGAATTTGATTTTGATTGCCCATACTTACCCATCATATCCTCTTATGACACAACACAAAAACAAATGTATCCTCATTTTTTTCCAGTATTAAATCTTCCACACAGACCTCAAAATTTCCTTTGGTTCCACTTCCTCTAGGACTTGGTATCATCACATCCCCCTCATTCTCCTGGGTCATCTTCTCTCCCTCTACTACTTCTTCCTTCTCTCCTTACTTCCCCCTTGGGTAAATTCTCTCCCACCCTGCCTTCTTTAGCGATGTGTTTTTTCTACTCTGTTCGACTTGACACTCTTAGAATGATTATTCATGACTCAATGGATAGATGCATTTCTAAGTTACTCCTTACTACACTGCCATTCTTTGAAAGACACACACCAGGTCATCACTGCCTCTCTAATTGTGAGAACCAACTTCCTCATTGGCTGCGTGGCACTTGACAGCCTTTGCCAACTTCTGCTCATCTTACTTGCCCTAACTTTCTTCTTTCTTCCCCTGTGACTTTTCACAGACTTGTGAGACTTTATTCTTGTCTGTGCCTTCAACTCTGACCTATATTCTAGATAGGATTCTAACCAATCCTTTTCACTGACCTTGAGAAACACATGTCCAATTGCCTAAACTACCTCCTACTTGATGTTTCAATAGCTATATTAAACTCTGTTAAAATATGTATTCATCATCTTCCTCCTTCACATTTTAAGCTTGTGTTCTCACTCTATAATAAACATCGGGGCCATTTTAATATCCCTGTAGTCTCCATCTCCTATGTCCAATTGCAGACCAACGGTTGTTTTTCCTATAATCCCCAGAATACACCTAGGGTAATCATTTTTAATAGTTATATCAGATCATGCCACAGCCAAGGTGTCAAGGGCTTCTTCAAGCTCCTTGACTGATTCATAACCCCCCACACACACTCCTCTCTTTGGCCTCCTTCCCCTCTCAACACCTCTCCTTGTGCTCAAACCACAGTAATATTTTCTTTCTGGAATGCACCACACCCTCTCCCTTCTTAGTCCTATTAGTTGTGCCTATGCAACTCCGTGGCTGTTATTTGTTTAAACATTTATCCCTCTGATCCTCACATGCAGTTCATTTGTGTGTTCTTATACCTTAAGATATTAGTTAAATGTGAATTACCTGGCTGTTAGGAGAACTCATCCATACAAGGTAGACTTACACCACAGAAAAGAACTTCTTCTGTTCTTAAGGTTATAAAATGATTCAATGGCGGTGATCACGTTTGAAACTTAAGTAAAGATAATTTGTGAGTAGAAATAGAGGCAGACCTAATAACCTTCTGTAATTAAACACAAACAGCAAAGAAAGGCCACAAAAGATCAAATCTACAAAAAGAGGTGGTCAGAGTAGCGCTGTGAGCAAGGCAGCACCCACCGCTGCTGAGCCAGCGCCCCCTGGCGCTCGGCAAAGAAAGCTGGCAACGTACTGCCTGGGCAGATCCCTGAAATTCGTAAGGCGAGTCGCGCTGCCCTAATTCTTTTTCCTCCACTTCCTGCCTCTGTTACAGTCTGGAATTTGTAATCATTAATAACACAGTGGTTATGCAAATTCTTAAGAACAGAGGCAAAAAATAATTCAACCCAAAAAAGTTAGATTTATTTCCTAGGTATTCTTGTATATCACACAGGGAGGGGATGCCAATTCCAGCATCTCAACTCAACCACATCAGAGACATGCGGATCCCAGTTATCCTTACCAAAAGTTCCACTGGATTCCAGCTAATACTTTTGGGCTGAAAAAACTACCTTTTTCATATTTTTTTGCATTTACATTTCTCAGATTTTGGTCTTTCTACTTTTTTGTTAGAAGCAGAGACATCAACATGACATACACACTAACTGTCACACAGTATCGGGGTCTTATAGGAATAAGAAGTAATACAAAATAAACATAGTCTGATACTCATGGAAATATTTTCACTGATTTGTAGAATCTCTAGGTACAGATTTTTCAGATGAGTATCTAAGGGCAGAGTATTACCCTCAGTTATAAACTTTGGGGATTGATTTTCCTGTCATCAAGGAGGAGCTTGCCTGTTTTCTGAATTCTCTGAAATCAGAATTAAATTGTAGTGGTAGCAAAGTAGGTGACATTTATTATGTCTTATAGTATCTGACAACTCGTGATGGTTAAAAAAATGAAGGCAAAACCAACAGGGTTTGGTTTAAGAAACATAATATGTAGTTTTTGTTTAGAGCTTTTTAAGTTAAAGCTCTAAAAATCTTTTAACAGGTACTAATCCATGCCATGTGTTTTTTATAAAGTTCACAGCAATAGCATTCTGTATTGAATTTCAGCTTTATTGGAAAGAAATGGTCACATACCTGTCTTATTATCACATTCTACTTAGGATTCACTTCACAGATGGGAAACTAAGGCTCAGAGAACATACATGATTTTTCTGTCCATCACACAACTACTACATAGCAAGGTCCGAACGAACATATTCTAATTCAGCTTGCTCCCAGTAAAACTTCAGAAAGCTGGAATTAATTCCTACAGAGTCATGTTTGTGCCTAAAGTAATTAAATCAGGAAATTCCTTTAAAACAGAAATATGTTATAGAGAACCTTTCTCTCATAGTGATTTTATCGCAACAGCTACACAGAACTCATGACATTAGATTAGGTCCTGGAGTGCTTATTTAAAAGCAGACATGCTACTTAATCACTCTCTAAAAATAAATTCCTTTTATTATTTTGTATTTCAGCATTCTGACATCAAGTAAAGCAGATCAGAAGATTTGAAAAGTTCACAGGTTTTTCCATTCCTCCAAGTCTCTGACCGCTCAGAACTCATTCAGTTCATTTAAAATGCCTACTGTGTGCTGTAAAGAGTTTGAGGGGAAGCTTCATCTTACGGAATATGGTTATCATTCCTGATGTATCTCCTGATG